TATCCTATGTTCCTAAACCTGTAATCTTGTGCCAGCCCGAACGAGCCAAAAGTCCCGCACCCCATCAAGGCAACTCAATCTCGTTCACCCATTAAGCATCCATTACATTATCCGATTTCCGATTTTAATTTTGATGATTCTTTTGCTTTCTTCTTCAAATTTCGGCCCACTTGGAACTTTCAGTCTTTTTCAGTGAGGGCTCGAAATTGTCATGAAGCTTACTTAGAATGTCCTCAAACAAGCTCTACAAGATTTATGGTTTTTGGAGTGTAGCGCTCACTTTGCGAACCCGTTTCAGGACAGTCGCCAACTCTCTAACATTACCTCCCTCATTGTATAGTTCAGCGCTCCCTCCCATGCCCTTGAATTTGTTGAGCTTGATGACAGGATCAACAACATTTTTTTGTCTTCGACTGTGTCATCAATGTGATCGAATTATTGAATATTTGTTAGGTATGTACACAAGACAGCAGGGGAATTTCTTTACTGAATGTGCAAATATTATCGATTGAGTTAATTACTCATTACTTTTTGAAAACGTCTGCATTCATTCCAGCAAGGGTTTGATAGTTGGGATCGAACGTTCCTGAGTAAAAGAATTAAGAGAGATAAGGCAAATATGTAGTGATGAACACCACCATTTCTTCAAAGCCTACCTGCCATTCCTCCAGCTCCAGGTTTAATCTCGGGTGGTGCTCCACCCCCTCCCGCTGGAGCATTTTTCTTATCGGCACCAAATACATCACCTTGTACGTTGGCTAACGTCTGGTAGTTGGGATCGTATGTACCTAAATGGCATCTACTGAAAACATAATACAATTTCTGTTCACTAGGCTCCTTAAAACACGTGTATATGCACTCTGTTTTTCGCGAGACCACGTATCAGATTTGGCGATGGCCACGCAAAAATCGAACCACATGTGTTTTTGATCCTCTTTAAGGCGAACTTTACGATGAAAAGGCAGCCTATTATATCGAGGTAAAGGTGGTGACTGTACAGGGATGGAGAAAAGACCATTAGGAACGACTCAGAACCTCAGAAATGGGACCTCCTTTCCCGTCGTTTTCCGCATGCCCCATCGATCCTGCCCTCTTCAACGCTAACGCTCTATCTGCTAAACAGCCAGCTGCCCAGACGTCTAAAGGGGACGTGCCGCGGCGCCAGCGGCGCGTCCCCTCTAGCCGTCTGAACAGCAAAAGGCATATCCTTTGCTGCGAATCGGGTATTGGTCCGCACCCGCAACCTTTTCCAAGCCGCAACGCTTTTATAGCTTCTTCGCTCAACGTCGACCTAATCGTGACATTCCCCTTGACGATAAATGTCACGGCGATGGCGCCCAACAGTTTGCGATTTCGGAACCGGACACTGAAGATAATCAGCAGCGCATGTAGTTCGAGTCGTTAATAGATGCGGGGAAAGCTGGAGTAAAGAATTTCCAAGAAGGGTTATTTCCCTAATCATTATACATTGTGCCTTCTCCTTAGCGATGGGGTTGAGTGAATCATTAGGAGTTCTCAATGTTTTTCTTGGTCTATTTTCACTTCTTCCTCGTGGAAAAATAAAAAGGGCCAGTTGCGTATGGCTTCTAGGCAGGCTTCGCAGTTATCAAAGTAAATCCTACGTAACTGTTCGCCATCTGTCATATATACTCGTGTTTATTCAATAGTTCACAGAAAGGCTGCGCTTCACAACTTTAGGCTTGAAGTTATGATTCATCTTGCTGAAGTGCCAGGCTTTTGCCTTTAATGGTCAAGAATCCCTTCTCTTAACTTCCCTTTGTCACATTCCGAATCTTTCCGCGAGCCCATCTTAGTGGCATTCAGCTGGAGAGTGCGAGAAGGTGCGAGGTTTTCGCACGGGACACATCTGCATTACGCTTGAAGGCACGCTCCGGGATCAGCCACTTTCACCTGTTGCATACCCGAACATAGTAGACAGGTGTCAAGCGTTGATGTCGCGCCCCTTTTGCGGCTTGAAAGTGAGCGACAAGGGAAACAGCTGAAGTTCGCTCGATCCGCAGGCCCCACGCTTCATCGCAATTTCCCCTTCCGCTGTCTGTTACCACGTGACGCTGCTTGAAAAGCGCAGTTGCGGCGGCGATTGCATTGCGTTTCAACGCCATTGACACCAACTGGAGGTGAGTTCGTGAAACTCTGCCCTTTCTCTACCCCGAGGTAATGTGGCCGAAATGAAGGAGGTTCCTATTCGAGGTGCAATCTGGGGTTTCTCTCGCTTTCTTTCATTTTCCAGACCATTTTCCACCTCTTGCTTCATTAGCGAACGCTCTTCCACACCTATTTTATACCAAAGCTTGCCTTCAAACAATTGATCCTTGCTCATGTTGGGATTGCTACCATGATTCTAGCACTACTTACCGGTTCAGTGTTGGCAATAAAGGAAAATTGTTTGGTTGCATCACCTTCTGTCTCATTTTTGATAAAAGGTGCGCTAAAACGAACGTGCAGGACAAAACTCTGCAGTTTGTGGACCATGTGGTCTCGGAATATAAAGAGGTTTCGGGCTTTTCTCTGGAACTTCTGCAGGAATCCACTACTGATGTCAGCAAGTACGTATTGTAACCCCGCTTATGGGCAGTTCTCGTAACAGTTCCTGTTATCGAGACTTCTAATCATGGAATTCAAAATCTCGTTGAGCTGGTGAGTTTCGGCCTTGCCAATGGACTGGCATTCTTGGCTAAATAGAGCGTCGAATCACGCGCTGTGATGGAGGATTGGCGCATTCTTTCGTACAAGAAAAAAAAGTCCCGCAGATAGTCATGCATAAAGCGTGGTCGTGATCGGTCAATGTGTAGCTTGCTGATCGGAACACCTTTTTTTGTGGGAGCATCTACTCCATTCGACGGTGATACAACCGCATTCTTGTCACTGTTAAGTAGCAATTCCTTGACCCGTGGTAGTTCTTGCACTCAGGGCTTTCAGGGAGTTTAGTCGAAAGCGACTGATCGAACAAAAGGGGGTGAGCTCCATTGTTGTACATATCTCTTTGCAGCGCATAGGTGTGTTTCGATCCGATCGTACTGGTGAATGTTTCAAACGCCGAGTTACGTACTATCCTTCGATTAAAGGCAGAATTTACGATGAAAAGTTAGCTCATTGGAAATAAGGGTAGAGGTGGTCAGTGGAGCAGGGATGAAGAAGAAACCATTTGAAACGGCCCGAAACCCGAGAAATGGGACCCCTTCCTTGCCCGTTGATTTGCGCATTGATGCGACTCTCATCGCTGTGCCCTCTTCAACACTACGCTCTCTCTATCTGCTATCTCACCACGTATAGACCTGCGGCGAGTGATTAGATAGTCGGTGGGCGTACCCCGCCAACCGCGCCAAGAGTGAGCCATGCTAGATCGCCGAGGTCAAATCTTTCGCTGCCAATTGCGCGTCGGTCAGCACCCTCAGGAGGTCCGCCTGTCTCCCAACTATGCAATTTTCCCCTTCTTTGACCTTCGTTCTTATCGTGAATTCCTCCTTTAATCTTTCTCATTTCAACGTGGTCACCATCCTATACAAAATCAGCAGCAAAATCGGCCGTAACGGGTGTAGATGATATTGGCTATAATTTAGTTGAATAAGGGCATATTTAGTTACACAAAGACTGGAACTAAGAAAATTTGAATTTGGGAGTAATGCAATGGAAGTGTGAGTTATTCTGTTAGAAGTTGATGGCTAGGCACATGGCGATGGCGACATCGGAAGGCATCTCAACACTTGTCGCGTAATGGAGTGGAGGAAGCTGGCAGCACACCCGTCATCCCATTGTGTTTGGTCTGGTGTTCCGGTGTTTATTCTGCTCAGCAGCCAAGTCCAATCCTGTATTTTATATCCAAAAGGACTTTCGCATAAAAGTAAAAGAAAGTGGTCGTAAAGGCTGTGACTAACCCCTGCCTGTGATCAACCCTCAGCGAGTTCATCGGTGGCTTCTGCCCACTTAGTAGGAATGCAGCATGAAAATGACAAAGATAAGATGTTAGTGGAGGGTAGCAGGGCCACAGGATGGATGTGCTTTCACCGTCCTGTCATTTTGTATGGAAATGGGCCATAGCCCGTTCCACGAATACCTCGATACTGGTCAAGATTACTAGGGAAAAAATGGCGTTTGGGATAAACACCACTAGATGTGTTTGTGATCGCTGACTTCTAATCTGCTTCATACTTCGTGGAACGTCTCCTTCGACGTGCTTATGAAACCCAGTGGTCCTTGCTTGCAGGTGAATGGTCATGGGATCGAGCCCTTGAAGAGAGTTCTCCCGCTCCAGAGATTTACTCTTCAGGTATGAGGTAGCTCAGCAGAGAGAAAAGCATTTGCTCGTGTCACACGTCAGAGAGCCGTCCATTGGTAATAAGCTAATGGAATTAGCAAGCCTTTAAGAAATCTGGATAAGCAGAGCTTGCTCCATCAATGTCTTGCAATAGTATTATTGTGATAACACCTC